CTAGAAGGAAAACGAAGGTAGCTTGAAATCACACAAACATCCCACACAACACTGTTATTGGAGAAAAGGAAATGCTTCTCTGCTAAGGAATGTCATCCAAATTCTCTCTATCCCTCTCCACTCAAAGAAATATGCAAGGTGGCTAGTCTGACTTTACAGTTGAGGAAACTAAGGCTCAAAAGTGGCCCAAGCCTGTAATCCCAGCGGTTCAGGAGACTGAGGCAGGAGGATCATGAGTTCAAAGCCAGGCTCAGCAAAACAAGGTGCTAAGCAGCTCAGTGAGACCCTGTCTCTAAATAAAATACAAAATAGGGTTGGGGTTGTGGCTCAGTGGTTGAGTGTCCCTGAGTTCAATCCTCAGTGTAGTCAAGTGTGGCTGAGTTCAGTCCTGGGTACAAAAAAAAAAAAAAAAAGATTTAAGTGACTTTTTCTCCAAAATCTCAGGCAGTGAGGGATAGCTATGAACATTTTTACAGTTTCATAGATATTTTGTTCGAGAGAACATTTACATACTTGTACATTCTTTACCCCCCCCCATTAGGAGAGTAATAATAAATAATGAAAAGATTATAGGTAGCAAGAATAATCCTGTATCTGTTAAATCACATATACTTTTGTTTAATATCTCCATTATTTTAAAGTTGGAGTTCAATTTATTCTTAGACATGGTGCAGGTGGTTTGGAATTTGTTTTTTTAATTAATTAGGTAAAGGCCTTCTGTTGGTGCATTTCTTCTTTATTTCTATCATCATTTTCAAAGCAAAAATTTCAAGCAAAATCAATATGACAAGGAAGATTTAAACTTGAATAAACATTTCTCCATTTTCAGTCACCTAATCCCTCTCTCCTTAAAAATATCAGAAATATTGGGCTGGGGATGTGGCTCAAGCGGTAGCGCGCTCGTCTGGCATGCGTGCGGCCCGGGTTCGATCCTCAGCACCACATACCAACAAAGATGTTGTGTCCGCCGAGAACTAAAAAAAATAAATATTAAAAATTCTCTCTCTCTCTCTCCTCTCTCACTCTCTCTTTAAAAAAAAAAAAAAATATATATATATATATATATATATATATCAGAAATATTTTAATCAACTAAAGGAAGGAAACATTTCTAAGATAACAAAGAATACTTGACTTTAAGCTATGAAATTATTTTTAAGGGTGAAATGGTTTTAATGTTGAATATCCCGAGACACCGCTACAAACATAAAAGAAGGGCTAAATAACAAAGAAGAAAATGCCAAGCGTTGGCAAGTGTGTGAAACACCAGAACTCTTGTATATGCTAAGGAGATTAAAAATCAATACTTCCACTTTGTATTCATAATAGCTGCCATTCTGACTGGAGTGAGATGAAATCTTAGAGTGGTTTTGATTTGCATTTCTATAATTGCTAGCAATGGTGAATATTTTTTTCATATATTTGCTGATTGACTGTATATCATCTGAGAAGTGTCTGTTCAGGTCCTTGGTCCATTTATTGATTGGGTTATATATTTTATTTATTTTAACTTTTTGAGTTCTTTATATACCCTAAAGATTAGTGCTCTACCTGATGTATGAGAGGTAAAAATTTGCTCCCAAAAATGTACAGTCACCTCACAGATTGTTTCTTTTGCTGAGAAGAAACTTTTTAGTTTGAGTCCATCCTATTTGTTGATTCTTAATTTTAATTCTTGAACCAAAGGAGTCTTATTAAGGAAGTTGGGCCCTAATCCCACATGATGGAGATTAGGACCTACTTTTCTTCTATTAGATGCAGGGTCTCTGGTTTTATTCCTAAGTCCTTGATCCATTTTGAGTTGAGTTTTGTGCATGGTGAGAGATAGGGGTTTAATTTCACTTTGTTGCATATGGATTTCCAGTTTTCCCAGAACCATTTGTTGAAGAGGCTGTCTTTTCTCCAATGCATATTTTTGGCAAGTGTTGGCAAGGATGTGGAGAAAAAGGTACACTCATACACTGCTGGTGAGACTGAAAACTAGTACAGCTAATATGGAAAGCAGTATGGCGATTTCTTGGAAGTCTGGGAATGGAACCACCATTTGACCCAGCTATCCCTCTCCTCAGTCTATACCCAAAGGACTTAAAAACAGCATACTACAGGAACACAGCCACATCAATGTTTATAGCAGAACAATTCACAATAGCTAAACTGTGAAGCCAACCCAGATGGCCTTCAATAAATGAATGGATAAAAAAAAAATGTGGTGTATATACTCAGCGGAATATTATTCAGCAATAAAAGAGAGTAAAATCATGGCATTTGCAGGTAAATGGATGGAGTTAGGGAAGATAATGCTAAATGAAGTTAGCTAATCCCCCAAAACCAAATGCCAAATGTTCTTTGATATAAGGAAGTTGATTCATAGTGGGACAGGGAGAGGGAGCATGGGAGGAATAGACGAACTCTAGATAGGGCAGAGGGGTGGGAGGGGGTATGGGGTTAGAAATGATGGTGGAATGTGATGATCATTATTATCCAAAGTACATGTATGAAGATACAAATTGGTGTGAATATACTTTGTATACAACCAGAGATATGAAAAATTGTGCTCTATATGTGTAATAAGAATTGTAATGCATTCTGCTGTCATATATAAATAAAAAATAAATACATCCACTTTGGAAAAACTGTTAAAGGAATCCATTATGTTGAACGTATTTGAATATGTTATGAGCCAGCAAATCCACTCTAGGGTCTGTACCCAGTACATCCTTAATGTTTACCAAGAAACAAGATACTCAAAATAGCAACTGTTCAATATGGCTAAAACAGGAGTTTTCCAAATGCCCATTGCAAATAAATAAATAATGGTTTATCTACACAATGAAACACAGTACAGTAATGAGAATGAAGGCTTTATAACCACTAGGAAACAATGCATGAATCTTGGGTGAAATGTTGAGCAAAATGTTGAGCAAAAGATGTCAGACACAAAACGGTACATACTGCATTATTCCTTTAATATTAACTTCAAAATAAGACGAAACTAATGCATGAGATCAGAAGAGAGGATAAAGATTAACTTTGGTAGTGGGAAAGGAGAGCAGTGACCAGCAGGAGCAGGAAGGGGGCTTTCTGGAGAACTGGTCATACCCATTTCTTCATCTGGGTGCTGGTTACATGGATGTGTAGCTGATAAAACTTCATCTACATTCGGGATATGTCCACTTTTCTATATAACTACATACTATACTTCAATAGAGATTTTTTAAAAGACAGAAATGTAGCCAGGTACAGCAGCTCATGCCTCCACTCCCAGTGACTCAGAAGGCTTAGGCAGGAGGATCATTAGTTGGAGGCCAGCCTGGGCAACTTTGGAAGACCCTGTTTCTAAAATAAAAAAATAAAAAAGAGCTGGGGATATATCTCAGTGTTAGAGTACCCCTGGGTTCAATTCCCAAGACTGTAAGAAGAAAGAGAGAGACAGAGGAAGAGAAATAAAGTAATAAAGGCCTAAATATCTCCCAGAAACAGGAGTCTTCACTTATTCCCTTCCCAACTCCTTTAGTTCTCTGATGGTTCAGTCCCTGTGGAATTTGTGTGGCCTACAGGATTCATTTACCTAACAATCAGGGCTGGAAGGTCAGGCTCTGGGGCTACAACCATGAATAAGGCCTGGTCTTGCACCCTGAATAGCTCTGGGAGTACAGAGGAAGTGAACATGCAAACCCATCACGACAGCAGAGGGGAACCTGCTAAGAGAAGTGTGTGTGAAGTGGGATGAGCACGCTGCAGGCTGAGGACCCCACTGCTGGAGGAGAAACAAGGCAGGAACAGCCTTCCTGAAGGGAGGGCCTTACACAAGAAGATGGCCCTTAAGGGATGGAAGTAAAAACACATTTTGAGACTAGAGTGGAGGAGGCAGTCTGAGGGCAAGAGGCACCCACCGAGACAATCAGGAAGCGTCAACCTGAACTGGAGGCAGAGGCAGGGCAGGAGGGGTGGGAGAAAGGCCAGGTTAGGGTCGGCCTCATGGGACTTCACCCAGAAGGACACGGAGACCCTGTGAGTAACTTGAAGCAGAAGGGTAACAGGATATAGTATTAACTGAAGAGACTCAGAAACAAAAGGCAGAGGGAACAGTTCAAAGGCTTGATGTAGCTGGAACAAGCAATGATGAGCATCTGAACTAACGTAGAGGTTACTGGTGGGAATGAAATAGAGACAAATCAAGAAGTATCTAGGGGAAACTATTCATTCGTAAGACAATTGTTGCACATCCCAATACAGAAGCAGATCCGCTGCAGAGTTCTGACTTTGGTAATAGAACTCAGTGGGACGGTGCACTGGGGGATAATCTGATGTCACTGGTGACACCCACTTGTTGGATCAGCAAAGGTGCTAAATGTGGCGGGCTATGTGACAAGTCACTGGCATTTCTTCAAACAATCACATTTTCTTCACTTTCACTCCACTATTCATGCCCACAAGTGTCCATCCAAGACCAAATGGTTTCTTCTTAATTCTTAGAATGTATCACTTCCACGTCTCTTAACTCCCTCTATAATCCTGTAGTGTCCAAGTAACAGGTAATTGTCCACCTTCTATTAAACTTGTTTTTCACTTGTAGCCTTTAAATATCAGAGCTGATAATATTTCACATTACACATGTATATAAACAATAGCTATATCATTTATTATTTATTCCCAACATGTTTTGAGCAAAAACTAAAGTCTAAATAACCTAAGCTATTTTCAAGAATGAACTTTGGAGATTCGGTAATTCCCTACAAGTTAATAATACACTTATCCACTAGAGGTCGCCAGATCACTGAAGCTTTTCCATCTCCCTGATGCTTGAGCACGCACACATGCCTTCCAACTATTCTTTATTTACTTATTTCTTCTTTGAACCGACTCCTAACACCTGACTAGGCCCACAGTTCTTGAGGTTAACAATTCTAATCCCCCAACTTCCTGTGCCCTCACCTTCTTACCTGATGACAGCCCCATCCATACACTTWCGTAGCACAAAAGTAATAAACCCATCTAAC